ATTTGGGTATATTTATACACGCACAATGGAGTCTGAAAAAGTCTCAAAGCCTTAAATCTTGTGTGGTCTCTCTGATCATTCACATTCCCCAAAGAAAAGGTAAAATGTGATTTATTTCCACACCACTAAAAAGTAAAACAAAAACCTATAGCAGGCTATTTTCTATGAAACTCACACAGAAGCAATTTGAAAACAATTGCCGCTGCTGTGGTGTAACTGAGATCCAATTCAATACAGCATTATGGGGCCCATATTACATCGGAACTCTGCAAAAGTAATATATGTAATTTTGAGAGTAAAAATAGAAAGGAGATGTCAATCAATGCCTCAAATTAGATGAAAGTTTATTGATTTGAAAAAAAAATATGTAGGGTAGCTGGCCTTATTTACATCTTAATCTTGTGGAGGAAAATCCAGGCGCACATCTAACAGTTGTCGAGATGTCATATGTATAGACCCGGAATTCCGGTAGAAAAATGTTGAAGAAATAGTGAGCTTTTTGTTGAATCAGTTCAGTTCATAGTTCAGTATAGTTTGGGATCTCAGCAAGGTCCCAACCCCTAATAACGAAGCAAGATGGAGGAGCTTTCCATATCTAGAACATAGATTGAAGCTGCTATGGAAGGATGTTTTGAGCATAATATAATTTAAGTAATTCTGAAAGAACCATGGAGGCTGCAAGTTTTGAAGTGAGTGATATTATGGGCGAAAATAAATGGTGTTTATGTTAATGTGTGGAACAAATGTCTTATGGTTAAACTTCCTTGGTAATTTTACTTTTCATTATCACTACAAAACATATCCAAGGGTGTAGATGTTACACCAATACAGAGAAATCTAAGCAAGCCCCAATAAATGACCATAAACATTTTAAGAATGAAACTAATGATATTCTAACAACAATCGCTGTTATCATCAGTCTAAAACAATACTATTAAACTGTAGCTCCCTTCGCTCAATAAGCACCGACTTGCTTCATGACCCCTGCCCTCTACCATCTGCCCCCACTCTCTGGCACTCAATGTCACTCTGGCACTCTCACTCAATGTCCTCCCGGATTGTCCTCCTGACATGAAAAGTGTTATTTGTATTGTATTATACCAGTTCTTAAAGATGAACATCCCTTTTCGGTAAGAAAAGCTGAGGATAAAATCTTTTAGGCACTGCTATCTTTCCGCAAGTCATAAGGAATGTCCAAATCTTCTTGAAGTCTGAGGTCATTGAATTGTGAAATACTTGTAACTCAGCCAAGAAAGCTGTTATGTATAACCATGGGTTCCTTAATGCTAAGTGCCATTCCACCTGCCTCGTGACAGAAGGTTATCCATTTTGAGTCCGATTGTTGAACGTGCTCATCTGGTTTGGAAGTTGGGGGAAGTGTCGTTGTTTGAGCATGAGATGACACCACAGGAGTAATTGAGAGGAAGGAAGGTTATGCATACCGTGCATCTCGTGGGTAAGCTAGGGGTTACAGGATCAGCAAAAGTGAAATGATTTTTTAGAGGAAAGCAGACATCCATCGAATCCCAATGTTGATCATCCAAGAGATGCTGAATACATTCAAAGTGGTTCCACAAGTCCAACGTATGGCAGATGGGGAGCAATCATAGGGATCACAACATCTAAATAGCCACCAGTGACCTATATATTTTGAAAAAAAATCAATGGCTAATGAGATCCAAACATCCTTTCTAAAGTATCTAGCAAGTAAGGCAACCACATCCAGAAATATTATATATGGGGTTTTGTTCAGGCATCATAAAATGCTGCGTTTTTGTCAAAACAATACTTTGTAGATAAACACAGCAGCCAATTTGCGCACAGTAAAGTCCCATGAAGTGCATGACCAATTTTATCTGGACAATAGTTGGCTAGGAAAAATGTGACTGTGGAAAAATTCCCTTCTCTTTTTAAATAGTGCCACGGGATCTTTAGCGTCCATCTGAACAAGCAGACAGAGCCTTGATTTGACGTATCATCCTAAGGATGAGACTTCTAACAATGAAGCACACTACCAGCACTGCACTGGAGTGACAGCCTCGTCGAGACCAGTTCGAAGTCCCTTTGTTATATAACTTGATCCAAATCAAAGGTATGTTAGTATCTTCTTTAATTGTCTTTCCAAACTCTCAAGAATGTACCACTCTAAACCACACTTTGTCCCACGCCCAGTGTCCTTTTATACTTTCTGCCCTTCCTTTCATTGGCTCCTCGTCAATTATCCACTTATTCCTAAAGGAGTATCCAACATTTCTGACTCAGAGATGCAAGTGCTACGAACTTAGCCAGACTGACACCTTAGCATCTTGAACCTCACAACGTTTCTCCCACATAAGCGAAGGGTCCTCATTAATAAATTCCTTGTGGTAAAAGGCATTTATCAACATACCCAGTTTTTAAAAAAAAAAATATTTTTAGTCAAAAAGAATAAGAACCTCCACCCTGCTTCAAGACAGACACAACCTGTTTGTCCACACCCTGGTTAAACCACCCCAAAGCTCAACCACCACAAGAGGGTGTTCCTGCCTCTACCGATATAATTTATCAGAGGGGAAAGGGAAGTGTGAGATTTTCCTCCAGCTCTCCATCTGCACATTCAGATAGTCCTCACCTCAACTAAGATTGAGTAAACAAAATAAGAGCTGATGATTAAGTGTGTTCACGTTAATGAGTTCGGAATGTACTTTGTTCAAAACTTTCTTTTACTCCCAATTAATTCTTGGTAATGCTTTTTATGTGTGGGTCAGTGTTTGTATACTTTTATGCGTGTATTAAACATGCTTTCACACATTAATAATACAGTAATAATTATTAATATATTGATAATAACATTATTAATCTTAGTAATACTGCTTATTATCTTAAGTGCTTTGGGACGTCCTCCCGCCGTGAACCACGCTGCATAAGTGTAAATTTGAATTGTATTATATTATTCCCAGTATTACAGGTCTGCGCACACCCGAACCCCCAACCTCACCCCCCCCACCTCGTCAAAACCCTGTTTTCACTCGGTGATTAAAACACGCCATACTCTAGTCCCCTAAGTACTATATATAGAAGTACGGCCTTGCTCCTTCCTATCTCTGCTAACCCTATATCAACCTGTCCGCTTCCTCCGTTCATCAAGCTCCGGCCTGCTCCACGTCCCCCGCCCGGCCCACCCCACCATGGTGGTCGGGCCTTCTGCCTCTCTGCCCCCGCCCTTTGGAACTCCATCCCACTTTCGCTTCGCCTCGCTCCTTCCCTTGCCTCCTTCAAGACACATCTGAAGACCCTCCTCTTCGACTGCCAACCCTCCTACCCTCCCTGATTCCCAACCACCCCCTTCCTTGCTCGGGTCCAAATTCTTGACTGTCCAGCGCCTTGGGACGGACGTCCTCCCGACATGAACGTAATTTTGTATTGTATTGCAATGACCCCATTAAACAACCCCACCCACCAACAATAACTAAAATCTGGATGCTATGTAGGTGCTGTTTCGACCTATAATAAATAACTCAGTATAATAATAATAATAATCCTCACATTTGGCACAGAGCCTTTCAGGGAGGGAAGGACGTCCGTCCCAAAGTGCTTCACGGGATACATTGCAAAGTGCAGTGACCGTGTTTTGCGGGGGCGGACTGGTTGATTATGGCAAATTACCGTAAATACGGCAAATTACCGGGACCAATACATACGTTACAAAAAGAGTACAGTGTCCTGTGGGAATAATTGCTGACCAGGACAAGATGCACTTAGGAGTCCTGTAGCTCAGTGGTTAGAGCACTCGCTTTGCAAGCGAGAGACCTGGGTTCAATCCCAGGCAGGTCAGGGCGAAACCTCGGGCAAGTTTCCTTACTCCACACAGAGCCTAATAATAATCCCTCCAAAACCAAAAACAATAATAAATTGGTCATCTTCAATCCACGACCGTTTGTGGGACATTGCTGTGCGCAATTGGCTGCCGCGTTCGCCCACAAATATACAGTCAATTCACTTTACAGTGTGTTCTGTGAAGCGCTTTGGGACGTCCTCCCGACGTGAAAAGCGCTATATCAAATGCGAGGATTATTATTATTATTATTATTATTATTATTGGGGCTCCTCACAGGGAAACCCCATTGATGAGAGATTGGCCACATTGACCCACATTACGTCACGACGTAACGCGGTCGGAGCGCGCATTAATAAACACCCTGCACGACACACACAGTTCAGAGATAAAGAGAAAGATCTAAAAACTCATCAGCAAAAAAAAAAGAAAAAGAAAGAAATACATCGCCAATCAGTTAACGCGAAGACAGCGACCACCAGCGCTTTATTTCCGCCGGTTTGACCTCAGTTGAGGTGCGGACTATTTGAAGACGCGGATGGAGAACGAAAGGTGAACCTCACGCCCCGCCCACCCGGTCGCTCCGCTCGCGCAGTGGCCGCCAACGGCTTCTCATTCAAAATTAACGGCCGCCGCCGCCGCCGCAGTAGCGCGAGGCTGAGTGCGTACACCCGGCGGCATCGCCTCGTCCTTCAGTTTGATTCCTTCAGCTTCATTTATTTTAGTGTGTTTTTTTGCTGTCCTGCTGCCCGGCCTCCGAGCAGCACAGGGTTCTTACTGTGCGTGAGTGGGGGAGAGAGAGAGAGAGAGAGAAAAAGCCTCGGAAACAGAGCAGGAAGAGTCGCTGTTCTCTCCCACTCCCTCCCCTCCCCCCCCGCTCTCTCTCCCTCTCTCTCTCTCTCTCTCTCCCCAGCCTCCCCCTCCTCCTCGGTTCCTGGCCGTTTGCAGCCGGTCCTCGGTGTTGCTCCCTTCCCCTCCCAAAAGCCCAACCGGCTGCGGCTGTTAGTGCCGCCGCAGTTGTTGTTGTTGTTGTTGTTGTTGTGGTGGTGGCCGCCGTCCGCCGCCGCTGCTGTGGTGGTGGTGGTGGTGACCGCCGTAGTAGTAGTAGTTGTTGTTGTGGTGGTGGCCGCCGCCGCCGCTGTTGTTGTTGTTGTTGTTGTGGTGGTGGTGGCCGCCGCCGCCGCTGTTGTTGTTGTTGTGGTGGTGGTGGTGGTGGTGGCGGCTCCCGCCGCCGCTATGGGTCTCTCGGAGCGAGTGAGGAAGCATTGGTTCCTGGTGGGCATCGTGTTGGCCATCACCTTCGCTAAGCTGCAGCCGTCTGTCGGGGTCCACGGAGGTGAGTTTCCCGATTTTTTTTTTATATATTGATTTCTATTTTCTGATATGTATACAAATATATATATATATAAATAAATAAATAAATAAATAAAACCCACCCCCAACACCAGGGCCCTCCTCAACTCGGCGCGAGAGAGAGGGGGGATGTTTAGTCGAAAGGAGAGGACGTGAAGGGGAGGATGGCTTTTCGGTGAAGAGAGAGAGAGAGAGAGAGAAGGAGTCCTGTGAGCCGTTCCCCGACACATACAGTCCTGCGTGGGGGGGGGGCAAGATTTTTTTTTCGAGGGGAGGGTGGGCAATTTTTATTATTATTTATATATAAAGTGTGAGGTCTGTGGGGCTCTTCTGGTTTCGTCTGGTGTCAGAGAAACTTACCTACCTTGTCTTTCAAAGAAAAAACCCTCACCACCACCCACCCCCCCACCCCACCCCAGGTGGTGGCCGATCTCCTGAGTTGGGGCTGGTTTCGGGCTGTGCCCTGGGCTGCAAAGTCAACGCTTCCAAACGCTCAGTGTTTCCACTGCAACGTTTCAGTACGTTCAGTACTTTTTGATTGAACGTGAATTCCTCCGTGGCCTAAACCTACTGCTGTTTTGCCATTGCTATTTTAACTGCGTTGGCCAAACCGAACCCACGCAACACGCACGGAAACCGGCGAGAGGCGACACGTTGCAGGCTGTCACTTCCGTGTTTGCTTTGCAGCTGTCATGTTCCCCCGCTGCAGCGTATTATTTTTGGTCAGCCCGGTGTCTTTGGCACATGCGGAAACTCATCACCATGATGCTTAAGAGTGTCCAAACCAAGCTGAGATTCCCACCTACACGCGGAAATCCCAGAGACAGATTGTTCGAATGAAATGCGCACTCTACTCTCTCCATGGAGGGGCGCATCCTGCTGACCTAATTCTGGAAAGTATGAGGCGCAGGTTGGCAAGATCCAAGGCTTGAGGACCCAAGAGTGTGCGTTGGGGTACTGCTGGAGGTTAACCAGCTAAAACTGCAAAGCTTCCCATTGATATTGCTGTCCCACTGCGTATCCGGCTAATACCGCCCTACCCATTAGGGCTTTGGCTTGTAGGGTAAACAGTAACTGAGTGGGATGACTCCCTGTGACTGGTGACTGCCCTCCCATGTCCTGCCGATGAGGCTGGCTGTTCTATCATCAGCAGTGCCCTGGAATATTGCGGACCCGACCGGCTCAGAAACCAGACTACCGAAACCGCAACAGAGGGTTGGCTCGATTCTGACATTCTATTGCCAGGCATGTCACCTTGGAGCCATTTCAGAGACTGCTTTTTATAGCCCTTTTTATACCCGTTTTGCCCAGACTGCCTTTCATATTTTGTGCGGTGCCCCCTAGTATAGTGGCTAGCCGCCTACCTCGCAAGTGTGAGGATCCTGTTTCTATTGGGGATGGCGAAACCTTAGGTAAGCTTCTTTACTCCACACTGCTGTGTTTACCTAGCAGTAGGTAGGAACCCGGTTGTCAGTCGATTGGCGGATAGCTGTCTGGGGGTAATAAGGATTATTATTACATGTTTATAATTGTATCTTTATTTTTAAATAAAAGTTTGTACTTTTATTTGCACAATGGTACATGTTTTAGAAACAACATAATGGCATTAACCATGTTAGTTAAAATCTGACAATCATTGGCGATTGTTATCCGTGATCAGTAATTACAATTTTTATAACCATCTTATCAAATCAGTCTCAAAGCTCCTGCCAAATGATTACAGTCAAATTTAGTGACTTCATAGGTAATGTGGCAGCCACTTATCATAAACAGTCTTGATGTGAAAAAACAATTCATCTGGAGGATTGTTGGACAAAACCCTAGGAAACCCCCGTTTCTTTCCAAATAATGTGATGGGATCTTTAACGGCCTCCTGAAAATAGATAGATAGGACCTCATTATAACCAGGCCCAATAGAAAATTGCAGAAAGATTTGCCAAATATTGTGGGGGATATTTGACACACAGAGAGACACATTCATACAGAGAGAGAAACATTGAGACACGCACTCACAGACAGAGACACACATTCACACTCACAGACACACACACTCGCAGAGAGAGAGACACATAAACTCACAGACACATGGAGAGACTCACACTCGCATACAAATAGAGAAGCGCGTGCACAGAGACACTGCATTTGTAGGAGAATCAATTGAAATCAACAGGCCAACAACTCACTTTTATTGAAATTATAGATAGTAAAGAAAGAATAAACTTGCATTTTTATATTGCCTCGTAGCCGAGGGGGTTGTTTGGAGCTGATGGAGTGAGTGTAGTGGATCCCGCAGAAAAATTACAGCTGCACTTTTCTGTTGATTACAACCTCTCATCCGAAAGAGGCTACCTCAAAAATGCAGCCCTCCCGTACTGATTTCTGACATTTTTTCCAGCTAATCATGGGCCTAAGCATGAAGCTTCAGTTCCCATTTTTAATTTTGTTTGAAACAATTGCAGTTGCAGATGAAAATGTAATTTCAGAAAATTCTGAATTTGACAGGCGACGACTTAAGTATGGAATTAGCACTAATGTTAATTATGAAAGCTCCAAGAAGAGTTTTTCTAACTATACATTTTAAAAAATATCCACCAAAGTTCAGGAATTAAATTTTTAAATATAACTAACCTGTTGGAAAATATTATTTCTGTATGTAGTTCCTTTAAAAAAAAATTAAATATCTTGGTCAAAATTGTTAAATTAGCATCCTGTTCATTGACCAGAACTGTTTTGTTGGTCTCTTGAGGTTTTGATAATGATGTTTAATTGTAGTATGAGCAAATCGTATAATTACGTATAATATTTACATTTAAAATGTTTGGATAAGCTTTGTTTATTTTGTATAGATTTACCCTGTACTGTCGCATGAACTAAGGAAAGGCTAGACTACTTAAATATGTTTGAGTAGAATTGAATCACGTAAATACAAAAGTCACAATTTGTAATGTTTAGACGATTCAAAATGTGACATTTTATAATTAAAATCTTCCTTTTTACAATTTTATGGATTTTTTAAAAAAAGTAGTATAGTATTGGGCAATGCTTTACCATTTTAAAAACAGTCACACCTTTGTTAATGCTGGGAAAAGTACTAGATTAACATTGATATGTTCTAAATGAACCTTTTGTTTGTAGATTTTGCATATTCAAAATTAAAATGTACATTTAGGGAGTAACGGAATGTTGTATTTTGTAACTTATTTATTTTTTCTTTTTAAATACAGGACCATTGAGGCCAGAGATTACAATCACGTATATTGCTGTTTCAACTATATTTTTAAACAGCGGTCTGTCATTAAAAACTGAGGTGAGTTTTTTTTTCTGTGCACTAAGTGAACATTAGTGCAATGAAACGGGTCTGCATAAACGTCATCTTAAAAAATTGAACCTTGTTTAATTCTGAACAGCAAATAAGCAAGAGTTCATATGTTTGGGATAGGTTTCACTCTCAAATGAATTGTACCTTGTGTGAGCTTAAAAATGGTTCATATATTAGAAGAAGGAGCTTGTCTGTTTCCTGGAATCAGTTAACAACTTAGTAGAATGTTTAACTGGTGCTTGTATTCATTATCCAGCTTACTGTTACAAACAAAATTTATATTGGAAGATTGTTTATGCCATTTAAAACTGGGAAACATTTCAAAATGTATATAATGTCTCTTTGAGGAATAAGAGAACATGCTTAAGAGTAACCAAACTGAGAATTCCATTCTTCCCACTGATGCATGTAAATCCCAGTGATGGATTGTTGGAATGGAATGCCACATCCTGCGTACCTAATTCCGGAAAGAATAGGACCACCTGAACATACTTGGAAATTGGGCTGATCGATGGCAGATGAAATTCAATGTAGAGAAATCACATGTGCTCACATGGGGACAAAAAATTCCACGAAGGGACTATTTAACTGGGAAGAAGATAATCTGTACGGAAAGTGAAAAGGACCTTGGAGTCCGGATTGGCAATAAATTGAAACTATCGTAACAGTGCTCGGTAGCAGGGAGTAAGGCAAACCAGATGCTGGGTTGTATTAAAAGGGTAATATTGAGCTGAAATAGTGGAGATAATCCCGCCATTTTATAAATCACTGATGTGGCCACACTTGGGATACTGTGTGCATTTCTGGTCACCGCAGTATAAAGGATATTGCAGCGATTGATTGAGAGGATACAGAAGAGGGTAACTAAAATGGAGGGAAATGGAGGAACTGGACTACAAGGAGCGATTAGATAAACTGGGCATGTTCACACTGGAGAAGAGAAGGTTGAGGGGTGATATGATTGCGGTCTTTAAGATTCTAAAGGGACTAAATAATGTAGACCATGATAAGCTGTTTTATAATATACTGAACAGTAGAACCAGAAGACACGACCTCCGATCAAAGGCGGGTAAATTCAGAACAAATCTGTGGAGACACTACTTCGGTGAGCGAGTGGTGAACTTATGGAACAGGCTCCCCAAGCAAACGGTGGATGCGAACAGTCTAGAGAAACTGAACTGATTTTACAAAAAACTCCAGCATCCTCTTTTCATTCATTGTTCACACTTTTGGATGTGCCTTGGTATCACCTGCAACTTTATAATTTTATACTAAGTCTGTGAACATTAATATAAGATTTATCATTGGATCTCATGTCCAACACGCCACTTTTTCCACCCACCCCATTTCAATCAAGCTCTCTCTCACTATCCTTTGCTTCAGCCAGTTACTAATTCATGTTCATGTCTAATTCTTGATATTCACTACTTACTGTTTTGTAAATTAATCTAGCATTTGGTACTTTTAGACTTTTTTAATATATAACAGATTTTTTGTTCTAATACAGCTTCCAAGTGGCATTTGGAAACAGGTCAATTTGGGATGTCACTTCTTCAATGTATTTGCTGAACCAGTACCAGTTTGACCCTTAAGTTGTCTGATCATAATATTAATTAAAAATCATGTTAAGATATGTAGGTCTTTATGAATGCTGTCAAAAATCATGTTTCTTTAACTGATCATTTTTGCCACATTATGAGATACGTAATACAGTAATTGTGTTAATTTCCATAAAATAGTCTGCTCCATTAATTTAAGGAAATATTTGTATCATAACCTCATCACTTTTGGAGTCCTGTAGCTCAGTGGTTAGAGCTCGCGCCTCGCAAGCGAGAGACCTAGGTTCTAGTCCCAGCAGGGCAAAATGTTGGGCAAGTTTCCTTCTTCCACATGCCACTGTTTACCTGGCAGTAAGTAGGAACCCAGTTGTTAGTTGATTGGCAGATCGCTTTTCTGGAGATAATAATCCCTCAAAATAATAATTTGGACACTCAATCCACGACTGTTTGTGGGACAGTGCTGTGTGCAATAAGCTGCTGCGATTCACCCACAAATATACAGTCAATTCACTTTACAGTATATTCTATGAAGAGCTTTGAGATGTCTAGAAGACGTGAAAAACGCTATATCAGATTGCAAGGATTATTATCATGTGGTTCATATGACGTCATAAATTACAACAGTAAAGCTTGAGAAGTTTGTAACAATTACCTGAATCCTGAAATGAGTGCTTTGGAAATATTATGAGTAATACAATGTTTTAAAAAAAAATCAAATTACAATGTTGAAATTTGATCATCTTTTACATCTTCCTACACAACAATGGTAAATATTTCCATTTTAAATTCAGATGTATATTTTGAAAGAGGCCAAATACATGTCATGACCTCTCAAAAAGTATGATTGCTTTTTCCTGTAGCTTTCTCCTTAGGTTGTGTAGGAGCTCATTGTGAAAAAGTAGTTTGCAAAATAGGCTACTGCATAATTTAAATGCCATTACTTTTAATACTTGTAACTGGAAATTTTGAGATGGGGATACAGGCATATGAAATTGGCCATGAAATATGAAATGACGATAACCAAGTGAGCATTGCTACAAGAAAACCTCAGTTCCCACAATTTAAAATTTTCTGTCTGTGAGCAGGTCAGTAGCTGACCTGGGAGAAAACCTTTTTTTTAAATGGATGCCATGGCAACGTCTGCTGAACTCGGCTGATGGGATCTTAGTTTAACTTGTCATCAGAGGGCTGGCAACTTCGATAATTCAGTACTTTCTCAGTATTATATTGGAGAGCCACTCTCTCCCACACTCCCTCACTCTAGACTGAGTTCAAAATTATTTTGTTGTGGGTGTGAACCCACAACCTTGGAAGTACTACCAACTAATCCACTCAGTCACCACGTAAATGATATAGCTTGTTACTTTTTGTTGAAGTCCAATTTTGTATTCTTTTAGTGGATGTAAAATGCTTACAAATGTTGAATTCATTGGGTGTTCTGCTATGGTTACTTACAAAGTGAATTTTAGAAGATTAGTATCCTAATCTAGGCCAAAGAAATTATTAAAACTAATTTTTAATGCATTTGGTTTACAAGTTGTATGTTCTTCTGAAAAAATCATAGAAATATCTGATGTATTTATGTTCTTGTTTCTATATAAGCTTTTGGAATCTTGTTTTTTAAAAAAGTTATCTTTTTTTATTTGTATTCCAGGAGCTGATGAGTGCTTTGATGCATGTGAAACTCCACTTGTTTGTACAAATCTTTACCCTTGGATTTTTCCCTGCTGCCATTTGGCTTTTTCTTAAATTATTAGCTCTGACGTCTATCAACAAATGGCTTTTAAAAGGGTATGTCATTTTTTCTAACTCTGGTTCTAAAATATTAGGATTCTGATTTCAATTTCAATTTATTTGCTCTTTCACATTGGAACAAGTTCAGAAATTCTTCACAAAGTGTTTTTATGTGTGTCTGGCAATTCAGGAGGCTCCACCTCCACCTGGTTCATTGACATATTTACTAAACCACGGTTAAATATTATACGTACATGACTCTCTAGAGACTGTAAAATTGAAGTAGCTGATTCAGTTTTGAACCTAGGAATGCCAAAGCACAAGAGCCACTTTATTACTGAACTTTAATATATTTTTACTACATTGATCAGAATTCTGCTTATTACTCTATGAAACTCATTTTGAACACAAATTAAGATTCTGTTATGAGAATTGAGCAATGCATAGACAAATGATGTTGCTTTCGGTACAGAGAAGGCTGAATTCATCTGAAAGAAAAACAAATTGTAATATTATCTATTTATTTTTTCTCTTTAGGACAATCTCTTCAGTTATTAAAAATTTAGCTCTTATCACATTCACAACCCGGCAACGAAATTGGCTTCTAACCAATTTAACCCATCCATGCTATTTTATCTTTTCAACCACCCAAACTCCTGTATGGAGCACAATTTACTAATTTCCCTCCTCCTTCCCGATGCACATTTATTGCTGGGTACTCATAGAAGGAGAATTGTTGAACCTCATTCTGGTGATGTATCTTTGTACTCTATTTGTTATAATTAGATCCTGCTTTTTACGTTGTGTGATTGGCGTTTAATGTTAGAATCGATTATATGCACCTTTCCTATCAACTCCCTGAATATTGTGGAACAGGACAGATTATACAAAACCTGGGTTGCTTATTGAAGGAATTATTTAATTGTCAAATGATTTCACTTTTGGTTCAAATGATTTAGTTTTCGACTGGTTGGTTCACCTTGTGGCACTAAAATGAAATGCGCCAACTGTCCCTCTTAAGCATAGCCTCAGTTCCAAAAACCCAGCAAAATAGAACTGGCGTCCTATTTCATTGACACAAACAGAAGTCGCTGGTAACACTCAGCAGGTCAGGCAGCATCTATGGAAAAAGGAAAGTGAGTCAACGTTTTGGGTCCACGACCCTTCCTTCGCGCAGAACACATCAGAAACTGGCTCTCAACAGTTCTGACGAAGGGTCGTGGACCTGAAACATTGACTCACTTTCCTTTCTCCATAGATGCTGCCTGACCTACAGTGTTCTCAGCGACTTCTGTTTTTGTTTCAGATTTCCAGCATCTGCAGTATTTTTGCATTTTGTTCTGATTTCATTGAATTCATTTTTGTTAGTGGATTCAGGCGAACAGCCTGTTTTGAACACACTAAATGTTTCTCTAATAACTTGTGATTAATGTTATTCATTGATTGAGCAGAAATCATGGCTTAGACAGAGTGCTTCAGTTGTTCATTGATTTCCTAGCCACAATAATAAAATTTGCTTTACAAATTCACAATAGTAGAATTTGCAAAGTGATTTTTGTCCACAGGTAGAGGGTCCCATGTCATCCCAAGATGAGATATACTGTACCTACCAGGAAGTTAATCATAAACTTCAGCTTTAGCTCATTTATGCGTCCTCCCTTCCAGGGCAACTGCTTAGCAATTTAGCATGAAATGGGAATAAATCGCTGTGGAGACAGACAGATGGACGATCTGACCAGGACCTAAATGATGTGTATTTTCATATTACAATTTAGAACAGTCAAAAAAAGTTCCTCAGATCAAATTTGCAGGGCTGCAATACAGCTTTCCCCTGACCTCTAATCAGCCTCCAGAGTGTTCACAGAATGTTTGCCCTTCATTGCAGCACATGTACAGCTGCAGCATTTGCACATCTATCGTTGCTTAGACAATTGACTCAAGAGCTTCCTGTTGAGAGCCAGTTTGAAACGCAAGAGCAGGTCCTCACTAAGTTTCAGGAGCTTGTCAACTGTGAGAAGTTGCAGCTGAATCTTCTGAAAGAAATTGATTCTACACTGCTTTTTCCTTTCAATCATGGGAAAAGTCTTTACCTTCAAATTGGTTTATATATCAAATGCAAGAATTATTATTATAGGCCTTCAATTGTAGAATTTTTTTAAAAAAAGGACAACACTGAAACTATTAATAACAACCAGATTTATTACCCCAGTGAATAAGGCAACAACCATAAAGTGTTTCCCATAGGAAGGATGCTCCAAGACAATCCAGGGTTTGCACCTGAGAGGGGAATTGGTGGGGTGGAGAAGATGACTGAAGGCACAGACAAGAGAAAGCTCTTGAGGTGGACGTTGAAGGAGGGAAGGGGCGAATAGTAGGGGCTTGGCGGTGGAGTTTCAGAGACGGGGGCAGATAGACTGAAAGCCCAAAGGTGGGAAACATGAAGTAGGCTGGTGCCTGCTGAGCGGAGGGAGCGTGAGGCTTTTAGGGTTTGAGAAGGTTGCAGAGGTAGGGTGTGGCAAGACCATGGACGAACTTTCCAGTTCCACTATCGACAAGGCTTAACTAATGCAAAACTCTGGCTCCCATATCCTCACACACCAAACTCTGCACGCTCATCACCCTGATTTTTGTGAGGCTTCACAGGCTCTCTGTCTACGAACGGATCAACTTCAAGATCCTCATGTACAAATTCCTTCACACCCTTGCACCTTCCTAACTCTCTGACCTGCGTGTATCCCACTCTTCTGCCCGCCTCCTTCAATCAGCTAACACGAGCCTGCTGTGCATTCCCGACCCCTTAACATCATTATTCAAGGCCATGCCTTCAGCCACTGCATCCCTGACGTCTGGAACTCTCTGTCTCAATCTCTGTAGCTCACTCTTTATCTTTTTATCTACCTCTTCGACCATTCATACTGTTACCTTCTATTCCACCTTCTAGCTTGCTCATGCTCTTAGATCCTATCCTGCATGAAGGAACTATAAATACAAGCTGTTTTGGGGTGAGGGTCGATAGAGCATAGGAGGATGGAAAGACAGAATGGTTGATAGTGAAGAAATGAAGCCTTGATTTGTATTTGGTCTCCAGGTTAGTCCTGCAGTAGAAGGCTAATTTTACCTGAGGTAAGGATGTGATAATACACTTTGCTGTTGTGTATCCAGATCTGTCGACATATCATGAGGCCAGATTTGAGTTGTGTATGTTCGGCAGCATTGGGCTTGGGTCTCAAATGGTGGTGCCTTTCGCACTAGGCGGGCTTGCAGGGGTAGTTCGGCATGTGATGGGAGGGAGAGTGTTCAGGGAGTTGTGCAGTAGGTTAATGGAGGATGTAACGTTTGCATGGGTGGAGGAACATGAACTCAGAACTTGAGGGCACATGTGAGGGAATGAGATGATGGTCGTTTTGGGTTTGGGAGCAGGGAGGAGGATGGGGAAGGTAAGAGGAACAAAAATAGATGTCTGAGATAGATGGTCCACAGTATTAGATGTGTAACATTTGTGTTGACTCAAATGGCAGAGTATAGAAAATTAGTTTCTGAAGGTCATTGTGGATTTATATTTTGAGTAAATTTTTGCTTTTGCTTTTTTAGTTTGCAGACAGTTGGTTGTATGCCACCCCCTGTGTCATCTGCTGTAATTCTAACTAAAGCAGTCGGTGGAAATGAGGTGAGTGTGATTATTTGCTGATCATTATTTTAATACAGACATAATTTCTAATTCAGTAGAAATTTGTAAACTCATCTGAATGTCAGTGAAATGTTATTGGAAAAGAAACATGGACTTCAGTGGAGTGATAGGACATATGTCATTCAGTTTTCATCGCTGGTCATGTTCACTGATTTTTTGCATGATGAGATGAATGTTTCTAATTTTTTTAAAACTAAAATTTGTAAAATCTAGGACACGAGTATAACAATGAATGTAATCAAACAAGAGAGAAACATGAGCTGAGAGTAATACTAGATATTGGCATCTAGAAAGTAAGAACTTGAATTTTTATAATGCCTATAACAGTGAAACACCTCAAAGTCCTTCACAGTAATTACAACAGCAATACCTTGCTGTTATATAGTGTCCCTCACAACAACAAGATTACATTTATAGAACGCCTTTTGCGTCGGGAGGACGTCCCTCACGCAGGGTAGTGAGCCAGAGCGTTTGATTATTGCAAGTGTAGTCACTTTTTTTTATATAGACAAACTCAGTAGCTGTTTTGTGAATAGTAAAGACCCACAATTAGCCATGAGATGAAATGGTGATTTTCTGGAGGACTGTTGATCTCGTATCTTTAATCCCACCTGAAAATCAAGAAGACTGAACAGATCCATTCTGTAAGTTGTGCAAACCATGTAATGTAAATGTACAGATAATTAACAAGCAAACAAAGGGTTTGCAAAAGAACCAAGAATCTTCTTTGTTGATGGTTCATTACATAATTGAGGGCTGGTGGTCCTGGAATCGAGGGTGGAGGCAGAGAGGTACATTTGGGTGTCATTCGCATACATGTGGAAATTGACCCCATGTCTGCAAATGATATCACCAAGAGGGAGCATGTAGATATTGAATTGGAGGGGACTAAGGACAGAGCCCTGAGGAACACTGCATAGTCGAGCCTTGATGTAATGAACCATATATGCGTGCGGGGGCTAGAGGAGAAACCATTTGTGGAGATGAAGTGGAAGGTGTCTGACACATGCAGAAACCCATCAATATACTTCAGAGTCTCCAACCAAACTGAGTTACATGCATCCCACCTATACATTGAAATTCGAGAGATTTATTAAAATAGAAATGTGCATTCTATTGCTGGAGGGATGCATCTTGCTTACCTAATTCCAGAGAGTATAAGGTGCAGTTGGCAAAATACAAGTCTCTGGTACCCCAGAGTGTTTACCTAGCAGTAAGTGGGAACCCAATTGTTAGTTGATTGGTGGATCACTTTTCTAGGGGTAATAATTCCTTAAAAAAAATTGGTCACTTTAATCTATGATTGTTTGTGGTAAACTGTTATGTGCAATTGGCTGCTGCATTTTGCCCACAGAAATATACAGTCAATTCTGTGAAGCACTTTGAGACGTCTCAAAGTCATGATAAGGCGCTATATCAAATGCAAGGATTATTATTTTTATAGTGTACTTGAGTCCATAACCAGCTATAACAGCAAAACTTGCCATTGAAAGCACTGTCTGCCAAGCTTTCCTGTTGCTTGTTCAGCTAGGACCACCCAACCCACTTTATTGTGAAACTAATTTCAAAATTCATACAAGGTATTTTGGATTTCAGTGTAAATACTGAACACTACAGACCTGCTTTGCCAGGAACTGGTCTATCGTCACAGAGGGTTCGCTCGATTCTGATATTCTATTGCCAAATATGCAGTCTAGCACCAAGGAAACCCTGCTTGCATCTCTCTAGCCCACCCGGAGAATAGTCACTAGTTGTCAAAATACTCGTCCTTGGCATAATTCAACAACTTGGAGTTATATAGCGTCCTTCAGGTGGAGTAACGTCCCAGAGCACTCAGAGCAAATATCCTCTGCATTTATAATAATAATCCTTGCATTTGATATAGTGCTTTTCACATCTTCTAGATGTCTCAAAGCTCTTCACAGAATATACTGTAAAGTGAATTGACTATATTTGTGAGCAAAGCACAGCAGCCAATTGAGCACAGCAGTGTCTCATAAACAGTTGTGGATTCAGATACCAGATTATTGTCCAATTTATCATTTTTTTTGAACAAATTATAAGCCCCCTGGAAAAGCAATCCACCAATTGACTAACAACCAGGTTCCTACTTACTGCTAGGTAAACAGAGGCATGTGGAGTAAGGAAACTTGCCCAAGGTTTCGCCCTGCCGGGAATCAAACCAGGTCTCTCGCTTGTGAGGCGAGAGCTCTAACCACTGAGCTACAGGACTTGTGGCCCTGATATCCTTCTAAAGTGGCGTGACCAAAACTGGATACAATACTTAGTTGCAGTTAAGCATTACATTCTTTGGTTTTATATTCTATGCTCCTGTTTATAGAATCTAGGAGCCAGTTAGCTTTCTTCATATTTTTGCCCCCCTGCTTAGCCACCTTTAAAGTTTTATATACATAACTCTTCTATTTTAAAAATATTGCCATTGAGCATATATTCTTCCTCTCATAATGTATGATCTCACACATTTCCACATTAAATTTCATCTGCTATCGCTGCCCAGTCTACAAGTCTGTCTTTCAGCAGTTGCTTACAATCTTTTTTACTGTTACTTACCCTGGAGACACCACTATTTATATTTTTCAATTTTGAATAATAATCATATATTCCCACCAACTTTCTATCCTTGCTGCCACCTTTCCATTAATACCTTCATTAATGTAATGCGCCTTCATTTTTTGAACAAGCCAACAGCTTATCAAAAGCTTTCTGAAAATTTATATATGCCACATCTGCAGAATTACCATTGCCGTTCATCCAGATATACCTGAAAGAAGAGTGTCCCAAGCATTGAAACCTAATTTACGAATTTTGGAAAAATGCATGTAAATAATGGCTACCATACCTGCAGAATGATGTGTGAGTGTCATAGTGCCTTATGATTTTAATTGAGTTGTTTGATTTGGCTCATTAAAACAATATTTGTTCTCTAACATCTGATTTTCTGAAATGGGTGTGATATTAAGAACTGCCATAAGGTTTAATCCTCAAATCAAATTCTGAATAAGCTAGTTTGGTGGTGACATTTTAATGTGACTTTAAATAATGGTTTATTTATTCAGGCTTTATTTTGAGAATTAAATAGTGAATTTGGATTCAAATTTTGAGGCAATTCACCCAACTATTTGATTTTAACTGAGTTCCTCTCCTACTGTTGTATAAGGTTCATTGATATTCGTGAACTTTTGCAACCAGTTAAATAACCAGGTCCACATTAATTTGAGTATTTTCATTTCCTAATATCAGTATTTATTGAAGTACTATATATGTAAAACATTTTGCCTTATTAAATATTAACATTTTAGTAAGACTTGTATATTTATAATAGTTGCAGTCAGTCAAATTTGGTGGCTTCTTGTATTTATTATTCCTGGAGGATTTTTTGTGTGATATTTTTCAGATTGTATGAGCAAAATATGCAAATATGTCGACTATAATGTATTGATTTTCATATTGAGAATATCATTGGGTATTAATCTTAGAAGTCCTTATAATAAGATGACACAATGGTTTGTCATATTCTTGAAATCCATTTCAGTATTTGTGGTACAAAGCATCAAAGTATAAGTGCTGGACCTTATCAATTAACATTCTTATTTAAAAGGTGTCCTATTTCAAAGAACAAATGGTAGTGAATTTGTTATGGATTAAAAGAAGTAATGCAATTATACAAAATATTATGCATGGAAGTATTTTGATAGCTAATCTATCCAACATTTATGGTTTCTTTAATGTTGTCATGTGCACCTTGTGTAAATTGGATGAGCTGGATGTATGTGAAGTTTGAAAGAGAGAACCGTGGGGGGAAAAAAAGGCAGAATACAAACATTTAAATTTAATTGAACAGTCTGATTGTGGTTTTCTGAAGTGATGTATGATGCTGTACTGAAATCACTGAAGCCCCATAGGAGAAGAGCTATAAGGCCCCCTCGAGACATATGAAGTCCATTTTCAAACTCTAATCCACCGAAATGTGCTCCTAATTTTTTCCCTGCCAGGACACTCCCTGCCTTGTGTCACTGCTTGTATTCTCATAGGACCAAATCAACCAATAATAACCTTGTAGCCAGATGTCTGGTTCGTCAAGAATCCCAAAGGCCATCCAGTGGTACACAGCAGCATTTGCTGTGGGCTGAAGATCAAAGGTTTTTTGATTACAGTATTTCTTTTGGGGCAGATCATGTGTTATTTTTCTTTCAGTTCTCATTCAAGGAATTTTTTAAAAATAAATGTACAAAAACAGAAATGCAATTGTTTTCATTTTGTTGAATACAGATTTTAATTATTAAAATGGTATTCATCACTACTAACATTTGAATTGTGCAGTTAGATGTTTACAGCACATAGTTCTTTAAATGGTTAAACTTGAGTGAAGTGCTATTCAGGAAATTCTGTTTATTTAAACAAGTACCAGATGCCCTTTGGGAATGGGAAAGACGAGGGATTTGCTCCGAGGGAAGCCTCAAACTATCAACTATAAAGAGTCAAACTGGAGGTTTTTAATCCTTTTGTGCCTTCAAAATATGAATTTATAATTCATCCGATTTTGTTTAAACAAATAGTACCAGCGCTTATGTGATGCTTGTTCATGGCAGAACAGCATATTGTATCACAAAATTAATTTAAAAAAATTTATATGTTCAAATAGATTCTCAACCTGACTTTTTTTTCTTAACTGAAATAATCCTTTCATTTTGTTACTGTTAATTTCTTTTAGCAATCTCACAAAATATTTATTATATTTTTGTACTGTAAACTTGTACTGTTCAGTGGCTGCAATTTACCATTGTTGGTCTTGAGAGCTTGGACCCTGATTATTTTTTTAAAAATAATTCAAATGAAGAAAAATATACTTTTGAACTTCTACCATTTTTGCCTTCTGGGGTTATTTCTCTGTTTTATAAGTAATTCATTGTGTAAAGACAGATTGAGGGTTTACTACCATAACTTACTGTACCTGTTTG